TGGAGGCTACGGATCGACAATTTTTTTTTTTTACTGTGGATTTAACATGTGAGCAGGCTCGAGTTTACCCGCTGAACTTCAGTTGATAGTTTTCAGGGAATGAATCGCAACTCTGTGATGTTTTCCTCATTAAAGTGTTTTTTTTTTTAATGCAAATGTAAAACATATCATCAGGCGAAAGATTAACAGCCTTCAAACAAGGTGGAAAATAGGCCGAATAGAAAACCTGCAGTGGGGGAAAAAAAAAAGTCTCCACACCCATTCAGTGATAAAGGGCAGCTAAAAAAAAATCATTCCAAAACGTTTTCCATCTTGAACCTTTGGGAGGGACAGCGGTCACGGCAGTGAACAGCTGATCATGTGATCAGGTGACACGGTGCATGAAAGGGTTGCTGTGACCCGTACAACTCAATTGGTTTGACGAAAAAAAATCTTTTTGAGAGGGATGTCAAAAGAATCAACCAACAACACGCGAAACAGGAGCCCCTGCACACCCGCCGCCATTTAACGTGCCGCTGATTAACCCTCAGTCCGTTTCAGATGTTCTAGTAGGCTTTTCCTGACAATTTTTTATTTTTTTTGCTAACAGAAGCAAAATTTGGTGCTATACACCAATGCGAACACGATTCTACCGAGTTGCCTCTAAATATTATTGCTACAGGTTATTTGACGACGACATGAAACAAATGTCCGGTCGTCCCATTTGGCTGCAAATCTGAAGGATTAAAAAGCAAATTGGTGTCAAAAACAAGCGTGACGTCAACCTCTGGATTTGTCGAATATTTCCATGCTATGTGTGTCAATGTTAAATGTTTGTCTGGAGCGGCTCTTTTTTTTTCATCCCCAGCATGAAAAAAGAGCTGAACTTGAAAAGCGGCACTCAAGGCGCCTCAACTCGATGAAATTGTGCGCAGGGGTGGGGGAAAGCTCAGCTTTCATCCTGCGTTGTGTCAGACTGTCAGAGTATTTATTCATGCGAGCCCTTTTATTAATCCTGCCGTCGTTTACTATTCGGTAAGAGAGTGTAATGTTGATTTATTTATTTATTTTTTCCTCTCTTCATCCTTAGAAGGCGAAATTACGATAACCACATGGCATGAGTCAGTGTTTACCACCGCGCGGTACATATTACACCGGCAGTTACACACGGTTAATCCGATAAATGTGCGGAGGACGCCTCGGGCATGTTCATATTTCATGAAGGTGTTTTGTACGTCTGTGTGTGTGTGGTGTGAAAGGAATGCCAAGTTAAGATATATAAAAAAAAAAAAAAAAAAAAATGGGTGGGGGGTCGACTGCCCCATTGTGCCACATATGTGTGGATGTAACTGTGGTGTTGCATTTCACTCCGTCGTTGGATGTATATGTGCATGCGCACATGTACAGCTGTCCAACGGGGCCCCAAACTCTCACGGTCACCTCACACACACACACACACACACACACACACACACACACACACACACACACACACACACATATGCATTCTCACACAGACACACAGATCCCAATGATAAGCTTGTCTTCTTGGGTTTTAAATTGCAGCCTTTAATGCCGCCCAGGCCGGGCGGAACAATGTACGGTTTGTTTAAAGCTCCACTGTCCTCCACTTGACATAAAGTCTGATCCCATTAACCGGTTCCTTCTGCTGCCGGACTTGAGTGCGAGAGCGATGACGAGACGGAACAGCGAATGTCTGCCGCCGCCCTATCAGCAGGCCGCAAGCGCCCCCTTCCAAGTGGTTGGGTATCAGTCTGCACGTCTGTCTAACCTAATTTAAAAAAAAAAAAAAAAATCACATCCCATCCGTAGGAATATCTCGTTTTGTGGTGGCTCAAACGTCACTTTTCGGGATGTGCGTTGAAACTTAACGACAAGTCTCGAGAGATAAGCTGGCGTTGTGAGGCAGAGAATTGTCACCACGAATCCAACGTGTTGGATTTAATTAAATTTCTGGTACACCTTTCATGCCAACTTCTAAAGTGACTGCAACGCTTCCCTCAATCGGCTTTCCTCTGCTTTGTCTTTATAATTCCTCTTGTGATGACCAGCCGTGCTTCAGTTACCTTGAAAAAGTAACTTTGCCGATAACTTGGTTTTTAAATTCACAATGTTGCGTTGATGACATCCGGCCGCTTAATTGCGAGTGCATTTTAACCGTGAAATTCAAGGACACCGGACGGATAAAATGTTTGACACAGTTTATTGAAGCTAGCTAACACTCTGTCGACAGCACAAAGTGTTGTTTTTCGCTGCAACGAACTCAAAACGGTGAAAGTGTGTCCATCTCCTTTCTCCATTGCTCTTTATGCGACACGTTATGCACACGCGATGACTCGTCAGCTCGCCGAAAGCGCGACATGACACGTACGTTACGTTAGCCGTGACTGTGTGCCCATTTTGGAGTGACCAACATCACCAATTACCGTATTTTCCGCACTAAAAGGCGCACCTAAAAACCTTCCATTCTCTTAAAAGTTCATACCGCGCCTTAAAATGCGATGCGCCTTGTGTGTGGTCATTACGGTAGTATTTACGACTGACAGAACCCTTTCTACGATGGAACTTTCCTGTACGACTGAGAGCCTCCACAAGCATCTTACGGTAGTATTTCGACCCCAAAATGGCTCCTTGCAAGAGTCATGCTGACAACGCAGAGTTCAAACTTAAGGCGATCGGTTTCGCAGTTGAACAAGGAAATAGAGAGTTCAACGTTAACGAGTCAATGTTATAACTTGCTGTCGGCTAAGTGAACCGTGTCGCTGCTTTTTTAAATAAGTTTTACTGACATCTGATCGTTCTGGTGGAGCGTAGCTCCATCTAATGGATGCATTGTAGATTGCGTCTTGAGTTATTATTGTTATTTTGACTTCAAGATGGCGCCGCGAGAGTGGCTGCCTTTCCAGCAGCTCCTATATTTTGTTGTTCTACTTCTTCCTTTCGTAACTTTGCTGCTGTGAATTGGGAATTTCTCCATTGCGAGACTAATAAAGGTTTTTCTTATCTTATCTTAATGCGCTGCGCCCAATGTATGAAAAAAATGACAAAAGTAGGCCATTCATTGAAGATGCGAATCATAATCCAATGCGCCTTTTCGTGTGGAAAATACGGTATGACGAAGGCACTGATGAGGTACAATAAATTATGATGTATTCTACATTTTGATACTCAAATTTTAGTCGCTGACTGAGAGACATGGAGACAATGACAGTAAATGATCTTGGACAACTAAATAGGATGACTTGGAATTTGGGATTCTTTTAATGGGTCGACTTAAAATCAGTTTGCGGTGCCCTAAAGGAAGCCGGCGGACGGCTTCCTCATTGGAAGGATTTGGTCTAAATCAAACCCCCACAGGAGTCGGCTAATCCAGAGCTGTTCCATTCGTTAAGATTTACTGCTGAGACAGGCTCGATGAGCCCAAAATGATCAACAATCCTGCTGGCGGCATCTTCACGCAGCTTGAGCTCATAGGAATCCAGTCGGATTTTCTACCCCCCAGCCCCACCCCGCCAAAATAAAAGGACTTAGTAATTAGTGGAAAGCGGGCTGATTTTGTTTATTAGTGTTTTTGCGAATGACTCCGCTTTGCCCTGAGATTTTCCCGCCATTTTGGTTCAAAATAATATCGCCCAGTAACTCCATTTCGTTCAAAGCATATTCAGCACTGGATGGGAATTTCCAATTCCGAGCTTTGAGTTTCCCAAACTGCGGGAGGTCATGTTAAGTCTCAATCTCCAATGGCTTGATAAGAGCGGCCGTGCCTCCATCTGTTGAGAAGAAAGCTCCGCTAAACTAGCTAAACCAGCTAAACAAAGCGACTGGCCTTTTCTTCCGAGCCTCATAGCAGATAAGGTAAAAAAAAAAAACATGCTTTGATATGCTTCCAAAATTTGAACCATGAAACAAACGCGGGTCGTTGCGACTCCGACGAGAAGGAATAGCAGCGAGATAAACGAACGAGGGCACGGGAGGGAAGACGAGAAGTAGCTGCAGGCGCACCGCATCGCTAATTGCCTCATTAACATCCCACAGACGCGTTGCGCCTAATGTATTCTTTTTTTTTTTTGCCGCGCACACACCATCGAGGCTAATTATTACCTGTTGTTTCAGTTTGAACCTCTAATAGGATCGTAATTTCAAGGCGGACCGGTATCGTAACGATTCTGTAATCCGTGCGCACAGGAGCTGCTGGTGTTCGATTTTAACCCTTCCGTGCACCCTGTAACATGATAACATGATAGACTGTCCACTGTAGTGACCGCTGTCCCTTGAAAGGGTTAAAAAAAGAACAACAATCCACAAAGAAAAGGTGAAGAATGTTGCAATTTCGATTTCATGACAGTCCAGCAAAGAAGTGAGTTGAAACAAGTGATGCGCAACATCGATGCCCCCCCCCGTGGCTCCTGAATATGCATTCATGCGGACGATTTTACACATGATACAGGAGAGCTTTGTTTACTTTGTGTACGCATGTTAGATGCATTAAAAAAAAAAAAAAGTATTCAGAAGCAGCTCGGTAGCGACACGCTGTTTACGCGATCTTTTTTTTTTTTTTTCCACCCCGCTGCGGTAAACAATAGGATTATGCTGACTTTATGTTGTGGATGCCTCTGACCTAAATTTGACTCTGCCGAGAGCTTGGAAGTTTCGAAGGGAAGGTTTGCACACAGTGAAAGTGGATAATTCAGGCATTGGTCATCATGATCTTATTTTGTTATTCTCATGATGTTGACTCTTCTTTGCCCCCCCCAATCGTTTCCGTGCCATGACTCACCACAATTGCCGACTTCCTGCTGCTCTTCCCCAAAATAACATCATGGCCTCAAGTATCATAACGGGATGCATCAGCGTGTGCCGAATGGAGCGCGCACTTAAATAATCACATCAGCCAGCACACACTTCATGAATTATTTCAAAACCTCACTGGCATTCTGACGAGTCAAACAACCTTGAAAAAAAAACACCATTAACCGCTGTCTTCTTTCTTCCCTCTGCAGTCGGAACAGCGGAACCTTTGGTGCGAAACTTGAAGAAACTCCAAGAAGATATCGACTGGTCGTACACAGGTATGGAATAAGTCGGCAGCGGGCCTTCAACAGGAAACTATTGCCTCTTGTTACGAAAGAAATTTCAAGATAGGTAAAAATACAGTATGGGCTGCTAATTGCAGCTCCGAGTTTCCTGAACGCAACATACTTATAGCTGCTCTGCCATTGGCTATTACCTAGCATCTTGGACATTTTCGAAGGATTGTTAAAAGCCGTCAAAAGCAAACATTAACACCAGGCAAAAACCACTTGTGAGAGAGAACATGAACTAATGAGGGCAAAAAACGATGAGGACGCAGTTAAAAGTTAAACGATCATAATTCGTATTCTTTATTCACTGTTTTGTACAGGATGCACAACTCTCATTCATTGTGCAATAACCTAATTCTAACATGTATTGGTTACATATTTTGATGCATTTTTAAGCTTTAGGAAAAATTTATGTCTGTAAATTTTGTGGGGCTTGGAACGGATTAGGGCATTTACATGGAAAAGGCGTCTCTACTTACAAACTTTTTTTCGAGTTACAAAATTTCTTCCAGAACCGATTAATTTCGTAAGTAGAACTACCACTGTAGTGACCTTTTTAGGGTGATCCGCTCCACAAACAAAAAACTAAACTCAGTGACAAGCCCAGCGTATTTCAGTCTCAGATCGGTTGATCTGTCGGAATTACCGTATCTAGCAACATCTCCCATAGGAGAGCCTTGATCTGCCTCGGGCCATATGTTCAGATGACTGCAGCTAACTCAGCACGGAGCCCTGCTGCGCTAAGCTGTCCAGAAACAAGAGTGGTTAGAGGCAGACGAATCATAGTCGCAGTCCCGGGGGGGTGGGGGGGATTATGGCCTCTTACTGGGAAAGGAGAATCGGGTCTGAAGGGGTCAGCAGTGGGCTAATGGAGGGCTGTTAACGGTATTAACCTCTTGTGGAGTTCGAGCGATTTTGATGGCTGCATTCGGTGACAAACAACATGTTGGAGCTCTTTGAATCATTCGTTGCCGTTGCCGATTGGACTCGTCAATTTCCAATGGGGATGGGCGGGGCGGTCTCTGATGCTCCTCCCCTGTACAGTTCCAATTTTTGGAAACAACTTTACTGATACAGAACCACCGGAAGATGGCTTTCGTGCCACGTTTTAGACTTGAGATCAGCACACTTTGTTGGTCCGCTGGCTGCATTTTGTGCACCCTGCCAAAAGATAATCTGCCGCACTGTTCAGCTCCACGGAGCAACGAAATGTCCAGCCGGTAAGGCAGCACAGTCTTCGTACATCCATGACGTATTTGCGTCTGGTAAAATGAGACTCACACTTATTTTTGTTTGATGGCAAATATTCATTACAATGCAGGTGCTGAAATCCCCCCCCATGTAAATTGGCCTGATTTGCCTTGTCGGCAATCTCATCCCCCAGACTTGTTTTCCTCGTCTGGCAGATTGTTTTCCTCCCTCTGTCGAATCTTTCCAATCAGCACGCGCAGTCCATTTGTCAAAGAGTGGCAATGTTTTTGTTACGCGCTGCGCTCCCTCTTCCTCACTTGGTTCAATTTGTTGTCTTATTTTGAGGGGGTGGCGGAGGGGGGGGGCAGGCGCTTGCTTGTTTATCACGCTACACTCGTCGGTCGGCCTCGCCGCCGATGCTCATCATCACACGGGGAGGTCAGTCTGGTTGCCGGTTAGTGTTGCTTCACTGTAACCCGAAAACACTCCCCACCATATGCACGAGTGTGTCCGCGTGTTCCGGTCACAATCGGGTCTTCCTGAGCAGATCTGTTCCCTCCGCCCTGTGCCGTTCGCTGAGCCGTGAGTAAAAACATTACCATGTGAAAGAAGCGCACTTCATTGTGAGGCAGCGTGCGCTCCTTTTTTTGCAATGGTTGGGGCGAGACGTCCGTGATGAAAATAAAAGGAAATATGTGGCAAAGGCTGCCCGTGATTGACAGCGCCGAGAAGTGTGAGAACGTACGGACCAGTCAAGGATGAGAGTTGATTGTCATGAGTTGAAATTACACCTTGATCATCTCTTTAACCCTTTCATGCACCAATAATGATAACCTGTAACCTGATAACATGATAAGCTGTCCACTGTAGTGACCGCTGTGAAAGGGTTAAATTTCCAGCAGCCTATTTAGGCATAAAATGTTCGTCCCTGACACCCACGGGGGTTTTTTCCATGTCTCACACTTGATGCTTGCTGCACCAGAGCACACAACCCCACTCTGTCACCTTGGTGTCTGTGTATCCCACCAGGGGCAATACATGGCGATTCACAGTCATACATCCATTTTTTTTCTTTTTTTTTTTTTTTTGGACACACCTCTCTCAGGTCTTTTCAACTTGGTCGGAAAAACAGCGTCAGCGCAAGAGACAACGCCTTCATATTCTCTGATCTGAAAACCGTGTCTAAAATCGGAAAGTAGTACATTAGTTGGTCCAAATAACTATGTTGAATTTATACATCTTAGCTTCTTAGCTGAGAGACAAGCATTGTATATAAAAAACGGAGCTAAGTTTAGCCAGGGTCGTTATGGTCCTGTACATCCGCACTCACATTGGGTGCAGTAAAAAAAAAAAAATTAAAAAATCAAATTATCAGCAAGCCATTTATTTGTAAGTGAAATATAAAATGTCTTTGAAATTCATTCCAATGTTTTATGACTGCGCCCCGATGATCCAGTGGTTAGCGCATCGACCTCACAGTGCAGAGGTACCGGGTTCAATTCCACAATAGTGGCTGCTGTTGCGTTATGCATCCACTAGATGGAGTTACGCTAAAGGGAATACAATACAATACATTGCAGCTTGATTAATATGGGGCTTTCACAACCGCTGCAGCTGTAACAAAGCGCTTTACAGAACACTGAAATTATTACATCCAAGAAATCAGAAGATTGATCCATATAGAAGGCACATCGGATTATAAGGCGCACTGAGAAAATTGAATGCTTTTAGGTGAGCCTTAGAGTGCGGTAAATAGGGTATTTACTTTTATTAACATGATCACTGGAACCCTAAAGCTCTCTTTTGGTGAATTTTATGGTACAAATGTAGTGCCAGATCTCATTTAAAAAAAAAACCCCACTGGAAATTCCCAGTGGAATGTGATGTTGTCGACAACCTTTAACAGTTGTTGCGCATAACAATTCATTCAACATTTCTTATATGAATGTTAATTGGAATAAGTCATTGTTACATGCATGTGACTTTTTTGTTTTTTGAACAAACTTCCACTTCCTTCATGTTGTACCCATCATCGTCCCTGGTGGCCCCGGGATCCTTCTGCCTGCAGGATTCCCCCCCACCCCCCACCCCCCGGGGTCCCATCTGTTCTGTTTGCATGCAAGTTTGCACTCTAATTATCCACGGCAAGGCGATGGCACGCATATATAACGCAACTGCAATTTCTTTCATTCTTCTTACATTAAGTTATGAAAGCCTTAAAAAAAAAACTGATTTGTATTGATTTGACTCTTAATACTTTTTTCCCACCCCTCCTCTTGCCGCTGCAGTTTCTCTTGTCTTACTCCAAAAGTTTTATAGCCACTGGCTATGCGAGCTTCAAAACTCCACTCGCGCTTGATCCCCTGCTCACATGGTAATGCGCACCGATTTTCGGAGACGTGTGTTTCGGTAAGTCCTGCAGCTTCCGCACGCACACGCGTTTAGAAGAGAAGTGGACTGTGGCGGGATACAGCCACAGGGTCCGTTCAATTACGATGGCGTTGAAAGTGAACTCGCATTTGCTACTGAAGAAAATCCCGCATTTGTGCATGACTGACTGTCTTCAGTTCCCTTTTTTCATTGTGAATCGGGAACCACGTTGGGAGTGCTACACACGGCAAAAGGCCGTCATGTTCACATCCTTCCAACTGTCGTCGCATCTGTTCGTCCCCCCTGTCCGACTTTCACAAGGCGCCGCCCCACAAACTATTTGGATGAAGCTCGGCGCATGCAGGAGTGCAGAGGGGGCCGAGCAAGCGGCGAGCCAATTTGGGTCAGATCTGTTTAACGCGGTGAAAACAGTTTTTTTTTCTCCCCTTCCCTACATTGGTCGGAGTGTAGGAGTACTGATGCGATGTGATGTACTGACCTCGGACCAGCGTTCACAGCTGGAGCCCGCAGCGCTCCACTTTGCTTTGTTAATTTGATTCGAACTACAAGCTGCCAGAACTGTTTGAAAGCCATTCCGCTGGGCTGGCTTCAGCTATGATGCGCTTTCCAATAGACTGACAGGGACTTGGAGGATGTCATTGTGCCACCATAAATGGGACGAGCCTGTCAGCTGCGTTTGACCAGAAATTACATGAAGGCATTCATAATTTTAACTGTCAGTGGGAATCTTAACAAGCAGCACCGTTGACAGTCAATTGCAGTCAACTGTTTTTGATTTATTCTTTTTTTTTTTTTTTCCATGGGAACGGGCAGAGAAAAGTCTTGTCCAACTCTGGCTTGGTCAAGTAAAAAAAAAAAAAAAAACATTAACTGTAAACATGGTGAACCTCTGAAAATTTGATCTTGCAGTCCGCGATTGATCAAAATGTTTGCTGGGTTAAATCTACTACAAAAGAGAGAAAAGAGGACGGTAGAAGCGATGACATAATGTACATCCATACACACACACGGACACGGCACAATGCAGGCACACACTACTAAATACTACTACTACCAAACAGCATTTTGAACAGTCTAAAAAAAATAAACCCTACGATGTTGCCTTTCTTTGTTTCATGGTCATCAAATCCCCGATTCTAAAACACGGCTGCAGTCAACGATTAGCAGGCAGCGAGTCCAATTGATTGAAAGTTGCAACCAACACGGAGAAAAAATGTACCGCCCACTCAGCCCGAGAGTGCTTTCGACACGGCATAGTTAGCTTGTGTGGTGATGCGATTGTCATGTCAGTGTTGTTTCCTTCTGTTACACTTTTAAAGGGCTTTCCTGTCTCGTATTCGTCATAGATCCCACCTTGAATATTTCATCCCAAGACGCCCCCGCGAGCTATTTCGACGGCGTGTTCGCTCCCTGCCCCTTGCTTCTGTCTGTTTGCCTGCACGCACATGTTCACGGCTCTCGACCGCTCTCTTAGTCACCAAATACTTGAGGCTGGCCTTTCTTCTGCTCCAGTTGTTCAGTATTCTGGTGAGGCTGCTCCCAGAGCCTTGTTCCAGACGCGAGTTAATGATGGCGAGGTGTGCGCGTACATGCGCCGCTTCCTCGTGTCCTCGCTCTGCTTTCTCGCCTCGTACCTACTGATGCCGTTTGGTGGATCTCAGCCTTCATTTGTGCAAAATGAAATGGCTGCTCAACGACGAGTTCAAAGTCATCTGCAAAATCGACGAGACAGAATCTCGAAATGAATTCACGGCCTAAAGAGGATCCAAGTCATTTGATTCAAGACTGTGAATTGAAGTTTAAAGTTTGACATTAATTCTTTTAACGCCGTACAAAAAAATAAAAATCAATTGGATCAGTAAAAAATGAATAAATACCAAGAGTCTCTTCCACAATGACGAATGGAGCAACCCCAGCCCTAAATTACAAGCCTATTAGCAAGTAGCATGTAAGCTAGCTGTTAACGTTAGCTTAAAAAAAAAGCGCGAAACCGATCACTCAATATTCATACATGCAAGCGACTGCGTCGTCTTGTCTCGGTTCTTTTTTTTGTTGTTTTTGTTTTGTTTATGCGCTCTTGAGACTTTGACTTGTTTTCGCGTCTAGAGGAAGCTAAGAAGAAACACTCCTATAGATTGCCGCCTAGCATGGGCGTATCGCTTCCATCTCGTCGGCTTTCAGCTTTGATGTCAAACATGGTGAACGTCTCCCCTATGAGGAGGCGCCCGCATTCATTTTCGTGAATAAAAATAATTGTAAGAAGACAAAGAAATACTCAATGCTTGAGTCAATGGAGGTCTTTTGCCAGCAGGCTTGCAGCTAAAAATACAAACTATGCATTGTTTATGCTGCTCCCTAATGTCTCCCATGAATCTATTATTTTTAGTCCTAGTGAAAGAAACATTTTTTCATTGCCAGTGATAATTCTCAGACCCCCTTGTAAATTTATCTTCTGTCTTAAATTTTATTTGAACCCTTTCAGGCACAGCGGTTACTACAGTGGACAGCTTATCATGTTATCAGGTTACAGGTTAGCATGAAAAGGGTTAATCAGAACCGAAGCCAGATGTCAAGTTATTGAAATGGAAGGCGATTCAAATGGGGGAACCTGCAAGCCCGAAACGAGGTTAAACGTCTTGTGGTGTTCCCTCCCTTGATTCGATAATTCACATTCAAAAGTTTTAGCGTTGGGCTAAACAGATCCAACAGCGGCGTTCCGACTTTTAATATTTGATAAGGAATTTGGCTATTTTTTGCCAGTGCTGAGGCAAACAGAAGCAGACAGTCTCCCCAAAAGTTAAGCCCTACATTATTTAACTCAATAATCTTGCATGTAGCTCTGAACGGCTCCCTGGCTCAGCGGGGCAGAACCTATTCACAGAGGGTGAAATTAGCAGTTTTGCACCGTGTGTGTGTGTGCGTGCGTGCGCGCACATCATCCAAAGCAGTCTAATTGGTGAACGCGTAGGCAGGCAAGGAGATAGCGACTACATTTCAGTATGTGCAGTTCATTGTCTGTCATCAAGCATGAAAGCACTTTTGTCTGAATTGTGTTGACAATTCATTCGTCATTTGAGTTAGTTTTTTTTTCCTTTCTAGTTTTCAACAACAAATCTGCTTCCAGCCCGACTGTTTGAGGCCAAAACAGCCAACAAATTATGGCTCATAGCCCATATGAGGTGAAATAACGCTTAGCCCATTGCTGGGACTAAAAGGGACTCATCTGGTGCTGGGTTATTTATACCCAATGCATTATAAGTATAAATACCCATACTGATGAGTTCAAGCTAGCAAGAAAAGACGACCAGGTTATCAGTCGCTGTGGTTTAATACATTTTCTTTGAACATTACGTTCAATTTATTTCAACGTCAATGCACAACAAAACTGTATCCAAAATGGTGACCAGCTTCAGCTGTTCAGCAGGCCCAAATCTGCTGGGTCAAAATAATGAACCCAAACTTGGAGAAGAGGAACTTAATCTGCTCAAAATTTAATTGACATCTTGCCATTGAATTGGTTTGTAAAACAACCCGTTTTTTGTTTGTTTGTTTTTTATGTACTCTCGTGACCCAATTTAAAAGTTTTTCGAGATCAGAGGTGTCATTGAGTCGATTTATTATCCATCCATCCATTTTCCATTGCGCGTATCCTCACAAGGGTCGCGGGGGGTGCTGGAGCCTATCCCAGCCGTCTTCGGGCAGTAGGCGGGGGACACCCTGAACCGGTTGCCAGCCAATCACAGGGCACACAGAGACGAACAACCAACCACAGATTTCGAGTGTTCAATCAGCCTGCCATGCATGTTTTTGGAATGTGGGAGGAAACCGGAATACCCGGAGAAAACCCACGTAGGCCCGGGAGAACATGCAAACTCCACCCGGTACCTCTGCACTGTGAGGTCGACGCGCTAACCACTGGACCACCGGGTCGCCCCGATTTATTTATATTATTATTATTATTGTATTTTATTCATTTATTTATGTGTTTATTTATTTATTTTTCACTGACATCCGCCAAAAAAAAAAAAAAAAATTGAGAGCGGCGTACGGTGTCACTGAACACACCTCAGCAAGCAGCAGTTTGGTAGCTATTAGTGATGTCACGACAACAGCGACATCGCAACGATCCAAGTTGTCACGATATCGTCAACGTCATCAAGCTGCGATATTAAAAGCAGAACATCGCCGGCAAAAATATCTGAATAAATAATTAATTTTTGCCCGCTTCGGCCGAACACCGCATTGTGAACCTCAAACTTGTAAACATGCTACGTTGCGCCGCTAAGCCAATAGCAACACATGACGATAAAAGGCTATTCGTTTGTCACTGTTGTTATGATGTTCAAAAACACCCCACTCCCACTTGAAGTTTACTTTTTGAAGTAAAAATACAGCTAAGGGGATTGCCCATTTCTTCGCCTTTGGAACGTCCACTTAGCTAGCGCTAAAAACAACGCCAAACTCCATTGACAGGCTCACGAATAGCATCGGCGCCAAGGTAATTTCCGTTTGTATGTGTTTTCCGTTTCCCAGGGACGACACGTCACGCTGTCATCCGCCACAGTTTTTCTTGCTCATTGCTTCCCTTTTATGCTCCGCAGAGCCTCATCCCCTTTTAATGTCACTTCACTACAGCAGAGTGAGCAGAAATGATGAGTGGAGCACCAGGTGGTGGAAATGATTCCAGTCTTGACCACTTGAACTGCATGGGAGGGCTCTCGGTCTTTCCCAAAGTTTTTCCTCGTATTTCAGCCTCATCACACCAAAATCCCTCGCGGACCCTTCTTTTGAAAGTAGACGTCGGGGGTTATCGAATGTAAATTGCTTATTCATTCCCTTTAATTTCAGAACCCGACAGCGAAGAAAATCTCGGCGAGCCTCGGGGGATGGTTTTTTTTTCTTCGTTTTCTCGCTAACTGAGCTTGGCATACTTAAATCTTTTTTTTTTTTCCCTTTAACCATCCAATCTGCCTTCATTACATCCATTGTCTCCGCTGATTCCCGCATAAACACACTTGCGTGAAGCAGTTGTTCATGAAGCGTCACCGCAAGAATAGGCTTTGGAAAAATGACGGGTGGGTCGACTGGTTAGCGCATGGGCCTCACAGTGCAGAGGTGCAGGGTTCGATTCCGGCTCCGGCCTTCCTGTGTGGAGTTTGCTTGTTCTCCCTGTGCCTGTGTAGGTTTTCTCCGGGTATTCCGGTTTCCTCCCACATTCCAAAAACATGCATGGCGGGTTAATGGAACACTCAATATTGTACCTAGGTGTGAGCGCGGATGGTTGTTCGTCTGTGTGTGCCCTGCAATTGGCTGGCAACCGGTTCAGGGTGTCCCCCGCCTACTGCCAGCTGGGATAGACTCCAACACGCCCCCCCAACCCTTGTGAGGATAAGCGGATCGGGAACTGGCTGGGTGGATGAATAATGAAGACCTCATGACATGTGCCCCACACGTTAATAACTGCTGTGGATTCCTACAATCCGCAGACGCGCTTTTGAGCTCGGTATTCCGCCGCCGCGGTTCTGATGCAAGCTTTCCGAAATGTTACTTTACCTCCCACGCTGCCACTTCTATTAGTTTCTGACTGTCAGTAGTTCCCGTGTGAAGGTTTTTTTTTTGGGGGGAGGAGGGGCGAGTATGATGTGTTGCTCCACTTGCTCAGATTTACATCACATGCTCGGCCAACTTACAAAATGCAACATTTTGCCGCGACGCTCTTGCTTAGACTGAATTGATTCAAGGCCATGTTTCATTTCTCTCTGTTTTGTTTGTCAGATGCCGTGCTGTTGTTATCGTCAATGCACGGCCAGCCAGATGTTTGATGAATACATTTAGCAGCGTACATACTCTAAACATGCACAATTTGTCATGAATAAATGACTTAGTTGGGCTGCAGATTCGCTCGTGCTGTTCATTCTGATCCGTTATTCATAAGGCAGGCACACACATACGTACACGTAAATGTGATTCAACACGATGCGCATTTGGAGAAAAAAGAAAAAAAGAAAGACTTCTGGCTTATCCACACTTGTAGAACATCGACGCATGTCTAGAGTGAACCAAAGGTCTGCCATCATGAATAATCAATCCATACGCCCCAAATCTGTGCGCAGGTGCCCTGAACCAGCGTAACTGGGGGAAGAAGTACCCGTCCTGTTCCAGCGCCAGGCAGTCCCCCGTGGACATCGACGAGACCTTCACGCAGGTCCGACTTCAGTACCAGAACCTGCGACTGGAGAGCTGGGACCGAATCATGGCGGAGTCCACCACTATCCACAACAATGGCAAAACAGGTCTGATGATGTCATTCAGTTGTTTTTATTCAACCAAAGCTTTATTTTTGTGTGTGTGTGTGCAAATTAGATGTCTTTTTGGTATTCCCCTTCTGAAAAAAAAAGGCACATGTTCGCTGTCCATTTCGATCAATAGAAATGAATCCGATTTCATTCCGCTGCTGTAAAACACAACATCTTAATCCCCGCATGGGGAAAGAAGCTTAACTTTCAGGATGCCACCGCAAAAAAAAAAAAAAAGCTTCGCAGCACGGGGGTTAACGAAGGAGAGGAGCCGTGAGGATTCAAAGGAACAGAGAGAGGAGGAGTCATTGAGGGAGAGAGGCAGCCAGAGGCACAACACTACAGAGCGAGCGTGCGGCGGAGAGAAAAGAAGATCAATGTCAAGAGGCCGAGATGAAGCGGAGCAAACGAAAAGCGTCAATAAGGCGCCGCAGGCGAGAACGTATAGACGGGGAGTAGCGGTGATAGAAAACTCAGGACGAGGGGCGTAAGAGTGTAACGACCGATGTCTTGCCTGATAAACCCACGAATCCCGTCGGAGCAATCTCACTGTGCCGGCGCTATCTATACATTCAAGATCGTTGCGAATTAATCTCTTTCTCTCGGTGTCTTTAAAGTCAGAGAGGAAATGAGATAGCAGGGGCAGGTAGCGACGCAGAGCTGCTGCGACGTGATGAGGAATAACGTATGAGGTGTACGGCTCTCACTTAACTCCTATTTCATATCCTGTTAGGACTTAATATCCTTGAGGAGCGACTTGGAATTTATTAGGCACGCATGCACAATTTAATACGAGAGGGGGCGACGCAGTGCGGTTGTTACCAAAACACACGCCGCGGTTTTGATAAGACCCTTGGTTGTGATTCTCATTCGATTGTGCATCAGGGCTTCATATTGTGGTATGTGAGTAGAAGTAGTGAGTGTACAGATGATATAAATATGACTTTACCGTCAAAGACGTAAATGTGTCAACTGTAGGCAACAAAGGCGAGCACGCGCCGAAGTGTAACTGTGCCCAATTAGCCATTTTGTGTTTTAGTGGCTATCAATGTGGACGGCGACTTCTACGTAAGCGGAGGTGGGCTGAGCTCCAGGTTCCGCGTCGATACCGTCACCTTCCACTGGGGGCGCTGCAATGCGACTTCCGGTGGGTCCGAGCACAGCCTCAATGGGATGAAATACCCTCTTGAGGTACTCGAAACAAACCCTCCACCGGTATGTTTACCTCGCGCTCGCTTTGGGCTCATTTGCCGGATTTGATTTCAGATGCAAATCTACGCCTACGATCCCGCCGCCTTCCGAAGTATTGAGGAGGCCATCAGGGAAGGAGGCAGGATTGCGGCATTAGCTGTGCTCTTTGAGGCAAGTCAACACGGCGATGTCCGACTTGGCATTTGGCGGTCAGGCTTTTCCTTTTTCGATGAAATAAATCAGTGAATTTACAGGTCAGCTTGTATGACAATGAAAACCTCAATCCTATCATCGACGCTGTAAACACTGTTACTCGATTCGGTGAGTCACCTTCAAAATGTTTCAATTGAGAACGTCACAAAATATTATTTTGTGGGGTTTGCTATTCTTACTGTTTCCTGTTGGTGAGCAGGTAAGAGTGGATCAATGGAAGCCTTGGCCTTGCAGTCCTTGCTGCCAAACAACACCGCCAAATATTACATCTACAACGGCTCGCTAACTTCTCCTCCCTGCTCGGAGACGGTCGAGTGGGTTGTCTTTCAACATACCGTCGCCATCTCGGAAACGCAGGCGAGTAGCCACAAAACGAGGTCCAGCTACGCCATTCAACAAGAGGCCGTGCTAAAAATCCTGACAATGTTATGCTCAGATGCGTCCACGCACAAAATATCAGCCGAAAACTGGAAGCTCTTGTCTGCTGCTCATCATCTCAAACCGATAAATCTAGAAAGATGCGGCAGTTAGTGTAGTGGTTGTTTATTTACCGTACTTTCTGCACTATAAGGCGCTTCGGATTTTAAGGCACACCTTCGATGAATGGCCTATTTTAAAACTGTGTTCATATATGCATTATCAGGCGCATAGAACAGAAGCTACAATAGTGGCTGCTGTTGCGCTATGCATCCACTAGGTGGTGCTACGCTGAAGGGAATACAATACAATACAATGCACCACAGCTTTATTTATTTCGGGCCTCACAACCGCTGCAGGTGTGATGCTTTTAGGTGTGCCTTATAGTGCGGAAAATACGGTAAGTCCGCATGTGTTCTTGCGCATTTGCATGACGGAAATGAGAGTGACAAGGTATGGCATGGGCGCATAAGCGGCAACTAAAAATAGAGCCGGAATCTCTATTCGCCCGGCACTAACACAAGGCTCTTACGCATCGTGTTTACTTTGGCATCAGTCTCAAAACAAGAGAGACATATTTGTTTTGTGGCGTTCAACTGTTACCCCCCCCCTGGCTGCGCTTCTTCTTCCGTGCAGCTGGAGGTGTTCTGCGAGGTGATGACCATGGAGCAGGCGGGATACGCCATGCTGACCGATTACCTGCAAAACAATTTCCGAGAACAGCAACAGTTCATGGGCCAGGTGTTTGCTTCGTACACGGGAGTGGAGGACGTGCCCACGCCAAGTAAGTGAAAAACACATTCTCAGTTTCGGTGTGTGGAAAGCAACTCCAAAACCCCCGCCCCCAAAACTGTACCTGTGCTTTGGAAGAAACTATATTGACTGAGGCCACAATGCCACAACAAGGCAAAGTGAGACTGGAGCACGTTGCGCTCACAATGCTCACGTCTGCTTTCAGCATAATGCCGTCCTCCAAGGTCAGCCCGCAGTGGCAGTCATCAAACGCTCTAATTCGCTTTCCTCTCCATCTGCATAAATTGAAACTCCGAAATTCAAAGCAGCTCTTTTTAGGTTGGTCGGGGAGCTCGACTTTGTAGATCAGGGCCCCTCCATTTTGCCCCTGTCAATGTATTCCACAGCTCTTTTTGAAATTGAAATAAAGTATTCAGTCTTTCCGAAAAGGGCGCTTCTGCTTGGAACACTTCTTGCCAAGCTCTTTCCGAACCAATTGTTCTTCATAAATAAATGGAATCGATATAGTTTAAGATGGAAAGGTCAAAAACAACTTTTTTGGACATTTTTTTTTTCTTCAACCCTGACATCATTGACATGCTGTTCGACTCCAGCCTGCAGTTCACCGCCGGAAAATGTCCAAGCCGACGCCCAGAACGAAACGACCATCGTCGTGACGTGGGAGCGGCCCCGCGTGGTTTATGACACCACCATCGACTGGTACACCGTCACCTACGAGAGGCTGCAAGGCCAAAACCAGAGAAAGCAGGAGTACAGGACCGACGGGGATCAGGATGTGGTACGTGAATGTGTCCATACCGTATTTTCCACACTAAAATTATAAGACGCAATCTGCAATGCATCCACTAGATGGAGCTACGCTCAAGGAAACGCCAACAGAACGATCAGATGTCAGTCAAACGTATTTAATAAAGCAGCGACACAGTTCACTTTACCAACAAGTTATAACATTGACTCGTTCACGGTGAACTCTCTTGCCGCTGCTCTATTTCCGTGTTCAACTGCGTAACCGATCGCCTTAAGTTTGAACTCAGCGTTGTCAGCATGTCTCGAGCAAGGAGCCATTTTGGGGTCGAAATGCTACCGTAATGACCATACACAAGGCGCATCAGATTTTAAGGCCCGCGGTGAGCTTTTTAAGAAAATGGAAGGCTTTTAGGTGCGCCTTTTAGTGCGGAAAATACGGTATGTCCATCCTCGACGATTATACTGGACTACATTTCATTTTTTTGGGGGGTTACAGGGAGCCATCATCACCAGCCTGCTTGCCAACAGCAGCTACGTGGTTCAGGTGGTGGCTGTTTGCACCAACGGCCTCAGAGGAAGATGGAGCGACCAAATTATCGTGGACATGCCGTTAGAGGATCCCGGTACGGAGACGCCAAGAGTACAAATTCCATTTTTTTTCCGATGACACATTTCTTTCTTCACATGGTTTCTTTCTAGAGAGCGATGCCGTTCCTGATGTCTCGAAAGACTTTAAAGGGAGCCGAGAGGTCAGAAACCGTTTTTAGCAAACTTGAAATGTCAACGTTTTTTTGTTGAATGAAATTAAACCGTCCTCCTTAGATGTCACCGAACATCAGATGGCAGAAGCCGGAGAATCCCAACCCTCTGGATTTGACTCCGGTAGATCACAGTCCAGTGGAGGAGATCCCAGCAGAGCAAACCAGGGTTTATCAAAACCAACCCACACACCACCCTCGGTTGCAAACAACCCAGAGCCCCCCGGTCCAGGTCGCCACTCAGTCCGCCCCGCAGCCTCCTCCCCCCGAGTTGGACGCACAGAAAACACGGCTCAATCCAAATGTGAAAAAGAAACCCTACAATCCGAAAAGCGACGAGGTGAGCAAAAACCAAATCGATGACGGGCGAAGAACTCGAACACAACGGGTTCTGACCCACGGCGGCTTGGATGGCAACGGGGCAATCTGGGTAACGGGCATAACCCAGCAGCCGGGCTTCCTGTTTCCCGTTTCTGCCCCTGGCACGCTGCCGACCGTCCGCCGCCAAATCACAGAAGAGGCGTCTCTGCCGCATCAGGTCATGATGCTTCAACTTCACCAAACCACTCACAATATATTCAAAAACGGTCAACTCATGGAGTGAAATATCTTTGTGTTTCCAGATACAAGATCTCAGCCCAACAGATCCAAATGAGACGGAAAGTGGCCTCCCTTCTCCCGAGTCGGACCTCTTCTCCCCCTCTGTTGAAGACATCCAAGTCACGGATGTTTTCTACGAAGACGCGCTCAACAGCTCTTCCCAAACGGCCACTTCAACTTCACTGCGATCGAATGTCACGCTGCCAGGTCAGCTTAAAGATTTTCGGGTTGACCAATAAGTCAACTACTCTGAATATTACATTCACATTTTATACCTCTAGGCGTCACGGACTCCCCTCTGGACAGCGATTCACCCGTGAACAAGCCCCCAGAAGCCAGTACCTCGTTTTGGATCTCTGAGAGGACGGCAACTGGCAGCAACACCCTCGCTGATACCGTCTACAAGTCGTTCACTTCCTCTTCTCTCCTCAGAGTGCTCATGCATACCACCCAACCCATGTTTAATGGTAAGATCCGAGGACCACCCCTTCGAGCTTGACCACGTTTCTAACGACCGGCTTATAGCGTTTCAGTAGGTCATTAAAAAGCATCAAATGGATTTTGCCAAGATGAAAGCCCGAAATAGCATGAAAAATCATTAAATATGTCATCCAGAAACGTTAATTAAATCATAACAGCAGTGGTAAGTCTGCCGGCTAGCAGCGAGCATCAAGCTAGGTTGCGACAGTTCTCAAAGGGGTCTCGCATGGGCACTCCCAGACCCCTTTGAAAGCCAAGAGTCGAGTCTATGCCCAGCTTGTCACTTGGAGTGACCCCACGCCACTTGCTTTTTCGTCTTATGGGGTATTTAATTAAGCAACTCCTTAAAGTAGCTTGTGTAACATCACTGGCGTTATTTCCGGCAGGAAACCCGCATCACTAAAGACAGCACGCATCGGTATGAACGAAATAAAGGCGCGCAACGTTGCGCAAAGGAGCCGCTCGAACACAATTTAGCAATAAGAAATATGGTGGGCAGGAGTTGCTTCATGCTCCAATTAATTTGCTCTGGAGTTGGAAAGAAAAAAATGAACTGATCCTGTCACCGACGTCCAACAAGTGGCATGAAAATGACCTCAACACAAACTTGATTCAATATTTCGCACTCCTTTAGATGTAAAAAGTCCCGCGATTAATGATTAAAAACCTCATTGGAAACGGCATTAAAAAAAAAAGCATTTAATTAGATTTGCTGATACCTGCGGAAACTTTGTCATGCCTTTAAAACTGCGCAATTGCTTTCGATATTGGCCTTGAATTTACAATATGCGCTTGATAGTTTATTATTATTTATTTTTTTGTTGAATGAATACAGTTAGGACTATTCAGTGTGTATAAAAGCATGACCTTGGTGAGGCTCGACATGTTTGCTTCCCTACTGCTTGTCACAGAATGACTGTAAATATATCGAATTTTCGCATCCGTCTCTATTTGCTTGGATCCACAAACGCTTCCCAAGTGGGATATTTTCTTGTTTTGATTGTAAAGTGTCCTTGAGTGTTTTGAAAGGCGCTTATAAATGAAATGTATTATTATTATTATTATTATTATTTAAACGGGGGTTTGGTACTTCACGTAACTCGAGTGCTCCCTCTAGTGGATGTTTTTAGCCCAATAACTCCACAAACACTAGAATTTAACTGCACTGCACTGGCAGTCTTGTCCGCGAAGCTCCCCCTTTTTTTTTTTTTTGCTCGTACTTTCCCGTTTGAAGCGGCGCATCATTTCGCTTTTTTTTGCACGCCAGAGGGAAGCAACAGCAGTCACGAATCTCACATCGGGTTGGTCGGCAGTGTGGAGAGGGAGAAGAGGACCGTCATTCCTCTGGCTGTTGTCTCCACTCTCACCATCCTGTGTTTGCTGGTGCTGGTGGGCATCCTGGTCTATTGGAGGTACGCATTGCAACAAAGCGGACATCGCCACCGACCAACATCACATTTGCTCATCCCGCTTTTTTTTTTCCTTTTTTTTTTTTTTTGGACTCGCTCTTGTCACAGGAACTGTTTCCAGACGGCTAACTTCTACCCCGACGACAGCGCGTCGCCGAAAGTCATCTCAGCCCCGTCCACTCCTCTGCTGCTCGCCACAGGTAACCGTCACGCCGGTCCCTTCATAACGTCGCTGTTATTTATTTGACACCCCTTGTTGTGCCAGACGGTCACGAGCCTTTGACGGTGAAGCAGTTTGTGAAGAATGTCATGGAGCTGCACAACACGAACACGTTCTCCAAGGAGTTTGAGGTGTGTGGCTGTACTCCAGTTTGGTTTTTTTTTGTGTGTGCGCGTGTGTGTGGCGCTATCGGAGGCCGACGTTGCACTGGCCGACGGCACGTTATCTGTCAGAGCTTTTTTTAATAACACACTCTCATATCGACTAACATCATCAAAAAGCTTTTAGCAAGGTGTTAGAACCCCCGCAAGCAGTTATCTAACAAAGAACAAAGTGCGACATGATCTCCCCCCCAAAAAAAATGTACCCGTCATCACGAGTACTAGTCGAGTCTAAATATTGACTTCTTGGATCGCTATCAAAACAGGCGCATCTGCATGGCATCAGCCCCCCTCCCCCTTCTGTTTCCGAGCATGAACCTCCAGTGTAACGCACACAGACGGGAAACGGCACCGAATAATGCCCTCTTGTCACCGTCGTTGTCTTTTGGCCCCTTTGTAAACGGGAGAAACACGAAAAAAAAAGTGCAACTCGAAGAGAGAAAAAGCGAGATGGGGAAACCGCGGCTTTGTCACGGCGCTCAACCTCTCTGTGTGTATATGAACCCCGTGTACATGGACCTGCACTGACTCCCTGTCTGCCTGTGTGTCACCCCTCCCCCCGACTCTCCTTTCACCACCGCCATCGTTGTGCTTTCTGCATCCTCACATCCACCCTCCATTAGATTGTGAAAGAATCCTATGAGGTAAGATGCTCGCCACGCCACCAAAGTTGACTTGAAACGCATACAGTTTGCTGTTTTGGGAAAGTACGCAGCCGGTCAAAGATAAATGAGATAAAGCCACATGAAGATGACACACACCGTTGACAAAATGTGATTCTCTGAGCATGACCTCAGCACCAATTAAAGAAAAAAAAACAAAAAAAAAAAACGTGTATATTTTGTGTTGTGTTGTAGGAGGTGCAAACGTGCACAGTGGACATGGGCATCACTGCCGACAGTTCCAGTCAACCCGAGAACAAATCCAAGAACAGATACATCAACATCCTGGCCTGTACGTCTCAATACCGAGTACAGTTTTGCTTTCGCCGTTTCGCTTCAAGCAAAATGTGATGTAACTTCATCAAGTTTTCCTCCATCCCAGATGACCACAGCAGAGTGAAGCTTACCAACAGTTTGGACAGGGACGGGAAATGCGAGGACTACATCAACGCAAACTTTGTTGATGTGAGTATGCTTTTGGATCAGAGACTTTCAGGTCATTTTAAAGCCTTGAGAGACTTGTAAACGTTACCGAACTTGCAAATTCCTCAAAATCCGAGCCGCGTATTTAAAACAATCCAATCGCTTTGTGTGAACCCTTTCATGCATCCTGTAACCTGATAAAATGAGGAGCTGAGCTGTCCACTGTAGTAACCGCGGTCCCCGAAAGGGTTAAAGCAAAGGTCGGCAACCCAAAATGTTGAAAGAGCCATATTGGACCAAAAAAAACAAAAAACATATGTCGGGAGCCGCAAAAAATTAAAAGCCTTATCATGAAGGCAATACATGCTGTATGTATCCGTATTTGCGACATTAGCCTACTATCAAAATGACTAAATTGCCTTTTTTCAATCAACCAGCCTCCTACGATTGACCCGTTACCTCCTACAGAAACCGTATTAAAACAAAAAAATTACCTCCCCCATCTTTTTCCTTCGTCAAGACTTTGGGAAAAAGCGCCAGAGGAGCCAATAGGGCGGCGGTAAAGAGCCGCATGCAGCTCCAGAGCCGCAGGTTGCTGACCCCCGTGTTAATGGAACAACTCGGTCAAAATTTGTTTTGCAGGCTTTTCCAATTCTTCCATGACTAAGAAGCAGTTTTGTCCGCAGGGTTATGAGCGTACCAGGGCCTACATCGCCGCCCAAGGCCCTCTCCGAGCAGGCAGGGAAGACTTCTGGAGAATGATCTGGCAGCAGAACATCGGCATCATCGTCATGATCACCAACCTGAAGGAGAAAGGCCGAGTGAGAGCGCTTGTTTCTCCATTCTGGGCATTTCTGATTCTGTCACTTCGACGGGATTGACCCATTTCGTGTTTTATTCTGTGTGACGTAACAGACCAAGTGTGACCAGTACTGGCCAGAAGATGGTCAGGAGGAGTATGGTCCATACCAGGTGACTTTGAAGAGCAGCAAGACCCTGGCTTACTACACACTCCGGACATTCATCGTCAGAGAAACCACAAATAAGGTTCACGCTCATATACTCACATTTGCGCTTTCCGAACGTACAAAGACCACCAACGTCCCTGATCCTCCAGGCAGCCCAGAGGAAAGCGGAACACACGGTCCAGCAATACCACTACACCCAGTGGCCAGACATGGGCGTCCCAGAATACACTCTGCCTGTCCTGTCCTTCATTCGAACGTCTTCTCGGGCCAGAACGCAGGACATGGGACCCGTCTTGGTACACTGCAGGTAGTAATTTGTGGCGGTAACTTGTGCGCATTTACATCGATAAAATGCCGAGTATGATGATTGTTTGGCGTCACAGTGCCGGTGTGGGGAGAACGGGGACCTACATTGTCATCGACAGCATGCTGCAGCAGATCGAGGATCAAGGCACGGTGAATGTCCTCGGCTTTCTGAAGCATGTGCGGACTCAGAGGAACTTCCTGGTTCAAACGGAGGTAAACAAAGCGTGCCATCTCGAGATACTCTCCACCTTAGCCTAAAACAAGAAGTTACATACGCATTGTGTATTTAAAACAGCAACATAACGTTGTCTTAAAGTCCTTGAGCTTAATGCTAAAAAAAAAAAAAAAAAAACTATTCAAAAAATTTTAAATTATTTTTTAAATAAATATTCATATACTTTTTGTCTTCTACTTTCTCCCTTTCATAATTTTACTGCTGTAAATTGGGAATTTCTCAATTGTGAGACAAAAAAAACACCATTGACAGGCTAACAGGTGGCATCTATGTACCGTATTTTCCGCACTATAAGGTGCTTCGGAGTATAAGGCACACCTTTAATGACTGATCTGTTTTAAAACAGTTTTCATATTTAAGGCGCACCGCTTTAGAAGGCGCATAGAATAGAAGCTACAATAAAGGCTACGGTTGCATTATGCATCCACTAGATGGAGCTACGCTAACGGGAATACAATACAATACAGCTTTATTTATAAAGAGCTTTCACAACCGCTCCAGCTGTAACAAAGTGCTTTACAGAACATTTAAAAATACTACGTCCCAAAAAATCTGAATATTGATCCAGATAGAAGGCGTACCGGATTATAAGGCGCACTGAGAAAATGGAATGCTTTTAGGTGCGCCTTATAGTGCGAAAAATACGGTCAATTTGCTGACTAGTGGGGGCTGCTTGCGCTACTGACTTTGGCCTTTTTGGAAAATTTGAAACTTCCAACGTTGTTGCCGGTCTTGCCTCTAGGAGCAGTACGTGTTCATTCACGACGTCTTAGTCGAGGCCATTTTGAGCCGCCACACCTCCGTCACCTGCGACCACCTCCACTCGTATGTGTCGGGCCTGCTGACACCCGGAGTGTCAGGCCGGACGCGCATGGACAAGCAGTTCAAGGTACATGTCGTCCACCCACTCGCCTATGTAGTCCATAGCTTATGAGTTTAACCCTTTCATGCACCCAATAACCCTATAACATGATAATCTGGATGGATGTTTCAGTTGATCAGTCAGCGCCAAGCGAAACACGCCGACTACAGCACGGCCCTGCGAGACGGCAACGCCATGAGGAACAGAGCCAGAGCGCTGATGCCCGGTGAGCCCTCAAGCTGACGTCAACTCCCGCTAAGGTACTCTGAAGTCACGTTGAGGCTCGTGTGTCCTGTGTTTGCAGTGGAGAGATCGAGAGTTTGCCTAACTGCCACGGAAGCAAACCCGTCAGGCTACATCAACGCCTCCTACGTGCTGGTAAAAAAAAAAAAAAAAACAACTTCAAACACGTTGCTCTTAAAACTCATTCAGTCCCAGCCAATTCTGGACCAAGTCTGAATAAGACGTTTAAAAACGTCTTTGGGAGTGAATGAGTTAAGTTCAGAAAATTGTCACCAAATTCTGATTTATTTATTTATTTTTGAAGATGTGTCATCCCGCTTGTTTTTTTTTTTTTGTTTTGTTTTTTTTCTTGCTTTTCATCAAAGGGCCATCGCCATAGTAAGGAATTCATTGTGAGCCAGACGCCGCTCAGCAGCACCGTGGAGGATTTCTGGCGTATGATCTGGGAGCACAACACACACGCCGCCGTCCATCTGCCCGACCCACATTGTCAGGTTCGTGCGTGATTTACACGACGCATATTGACAACTTCAAATGTATGCGTGGTACACACGAGCATGTGCGCCTTTGCAGAATGAGGACCAGGACCCGTACGTGTATCGGCCCTCTGAAGAGCAAATCATGAACTTTGAGGGATTCACCGTGTCACATTCAGGGGAGAGGCACGTGTGTCTGTCCAATGACGACAAAGTGGTCGTGCAGGACGTCACGTTAGAATCCACGCAGGTATTTGCCGCTTTTTGAAACACACATCCTAAGTGGTCCTTGGACCCAACAAGATTTTAAAAAAAGCACCTCCGACGCTTTGCCCTTCCAGAACAATTACGCTCTGGAGGTGCGTCTGTACAGCGCCTCCTGCTGGCCCAACCCCGACAGCCCCATTCGGAATTGTTTTGAACTCATCAACACAGTCAGCGAGCACAGCAGACGCACGCCCGGGCCTACTGTCGTGCACGACCCGTGAGTCGGCCACTCGTTTGTCGGATGAAGGCCGGCGAGTATTTCGACTGAAATCAAATGTGATCATTTCCTGTTCGTGATCCTCCACTTCTTTGGTGTAGGTTGGGAGGCGTGACGTCGGGTCTCTTCTGTGCCCTCACCACTTTGTCCAATCAGCTGCAGGAGGAGGGGCAAGTCGACGTCTACCAGGCGGCGCGGATGACCAACCTCATGAGGCCGGGCGTCTTTAATGATATCGTAAGTAGGCAGGCACACACGCGATGGGCCCTTCAATAATCCACGATAATGAGGAGACCCCCTCTTAGGAGCAGTACCAGTATCTGTACCGGGCCGTGCTGAGTCTGGTAAGCAGCCAGGAAGACCAGCGAGCCCTCCAGAGTCCGGAAACCAACGGATCAGTCCTGCTGGGGAAGACCAACATTGCCGAAAGCCTCGAGTCACTCATGTAGACGACTCACACGCATATAATCAGAGTACAAATCAGTGTACAGGTCAGTGTCGAAGCTCCTCCGCAAGGGTCCCAAGAGCCGTGAGTACTTTCCCCACACGCTTAAAAACATCTTTCATTCTACCCCATAGTCACATGACTCTCGCCCTGAAAAGATGTGAAGCCCGTCAAAATCACCACAGTCATGTGATCACTCACGATGCGACAAAGTGCACCTTTCTCAGTGCACTGTTCTCAGTTGAGCAAAAAATGAAAACAAAACAGTTCTTTGAAGTGGTAATGCAAAGACGGTTGTCCCAGCCAAATGGCTCTGTGGCCTTTTGTAATAATTCACACTTCATGTACTTTAAAAAAAAAAGCTCTTTTGCTTATGCTACATTTTGACTAAACCCACAATAACGCTCTGTGATCGACGTCTTTTTTCGAAAGGTGGCTCCCGTCTTGTTTGCACTTCTTGTTAGACATTCCATCCAAATTCTGTCGTGAGTGTGGAACATTTTTGGTCAGTGTTTTGTCAACGTCCCCAATCAGACACTGTCGGTCAATTAATCAATCCACTTTCTTCAACGGCGACTATCTTACTGATTTTTATTTTATTTTTGTGTGTGTGTGTGTGAAGATCCCTTAAATACCAAAAGGCCAAATTACTGTATGTTTTTACTGTATGTATATTTTCTATGACATTTTTCTAGTCATTTACACATGCTGTATAACCGCGTGGATTCAATTTGATAAATGCACATATGGATCATAGATTTAACTCATTGTTAATGCTTTTTTTTTTTTTTAATCGTTCCGGTAATTGTAGCAAGTTAACACATTTATCTGCAGCCACAAACGTGCGCAGTATGTAAATAGCAACAGATTGAATAAAGACTTGAATATGACTTTTGGGAAAATCAGAGTCTTTTATTGTACAGAAATGATTGACTCCAACTTCCCCCCCCTCCCAATCCCATGAAAGACAAATATAGGATATATAATTACATATTTTTTGTTTTCAAACTTTATATTGCATCCTCAGCAAACGTAAATGTGCTCCACCAATACGGAAAGTTATGAAAAATATGTCATTGTAGCATCGCGGTCATACATGGTAAAGTGTATACAGTGCATCATAAATAAACGGCAGGAAATTATACAGATTACCTAAAGTATCCATTACTTTTCTGAACGCCACACCTTCTCAGTTGCATTCCACAAACTCGATGAATCGATGACATCACACTAAAATCGACAATACAATGACGACGCGTACAGATCCTGAAGTGTAATTCACGCGTGACGACCTCAAAATTATTGATGAAAATACATTTCAATTATTTCACTTTTGGCACATGCAGTACAATACATTGGAGACTCCCCTTTGACATTATTATTATTCTTGTTATTGTTGTTATTAGTGACCTGATTTGGGCCGAAATTTGAATTCAGCCTCTTTTTTTATATGTTGGCATACGTATTTTAACAGAGAGTGTATAAACGATTTACATAAAGTACGTCGATAAGCAAGTAGTAAAAGACGACCTGCTGATTAATTTTCATGGAATAGTTCATGTTAACTTTATCACAAATATATTTCATTAAAACATGCATTTATAACTTGCTACTTTCGGGGGGAGGGGGGGGGTGTCACTTGCCTGAAACATATTGCAATTTTTTTTTTTTAAATCATTAATGGGGATAAACCTGAAAAAAAAAACGCTGCATACTCCTTCGTGCTGAAAATGTGAAGTCATCCTGATTTTTTTTTATTTGTATTTTTTCCAAGCACGTAAGCCACCATAGCACCGATTTTAAAGCATAAGCTATAAAAGAGAACATTTTATATCAAGGGTGGCCAAACTCTTTGTCTCGGATTTGATTTTTAAAAAGATGATGGGCCTGGTCATCCGTCGATGAGACGAAAAAAAAAAAAAAAAGTCCCAGCCGTAAACTAGACTTACACAGCTAATCATGAGTACCCTAAAGCACAATCGAGTGAGTAGCTTTGCAATTTGCGACTGTGCATCTCGTCGCAGTTGTCTTTACTTGTCCCCTTGGAAACCCTGTTGGCAAAAATAAGCATTTATTCTAATCATGAAAAAACAACTCTGTCGATGTGTGTGTGTGTGTGTGTGTGTGTGTGTCCTCACATAGTCGGTGCGTTTGCGTTTCCAACAGTCAGGGTTGAGCCTCTTCTGTTCATCGGCGAGCTCTTTGGCCTGTAAGGTAAACACACGGCGCTCTTCGCTTCGCATTTTCTTCCAGCGCTCGCCGAGGAGCACGCTGATGGCTCTGACACACACAGACAGACACACACACACACGCATGACAAGCGGATACAAAATCACGCGGCGAAGGCGCACACCAACCTGTTATCCTTGCCCGGGTGCATCTGCGTGTACTGCACCCTGAACTTCTTGGCAAAAAGCATGAATGCGTTCATTGGCCGCTTGCACTTCGTTGCGGTGGGGTTACTTCCTGGTTGGCGGACATTTTGTCTTTTGATTGGCTTGCGGTGAGGACAGCGGGAGTGGCCGGGCTTGGGAGCGCCTGTCGACAATTTCGGACTGCTTTTTCTGACTCTTTCTTTTATTTTCAGTCGTTTGTCGTCTATGAAAGGATGCCAAACCTTGTAATGCGTCTCTGTCGGGAGAAACGGCGCCCCCGCTGGACTGGGAGGCATATCGCCGTCGGGCCATGCTGCTCAGCAGGTAAACCGCCGAAGAGTCCATCGGTGTGAAATCGTAACTGGGGAAGACGCGGCACAATTGTGGCTCGTCGCAATCGTTCACGCAGAATTTCACGTTGAAATAAATACCTTTTGAATGTGTCAAAGACAAGCGAGTCATCCGTATGTTCGGCATCTCTGTGACCGGGAGGAAGGCAGACGTCGCCGAGCTCCATTTCATAGCCCGCTATCCCATAATGCACTACGGTCAAGCTCGGGTAGAATGACGACCAACCTGATGAAAAGTCTTACAGGTGAGTGTTTTTTTTTTTTTATGAATTGTACTTTCTACGTACCTTTGTTTTTAACGTAAAACGGGTGGTCGAGTTGACAGCGCGCAGTCAGCAAGCCGTGTCCGAAGGCGCCGGGGTCAAAGGTCAGCTGCAAGGTGGCCTGACCAGACAACACGTTTTCCGAATGCGCCACAAGCTGCAAACCCTCACAGCCGTAACTCTGCAAAAAATTGTTTTTTTGTTTGTTTTGTTTTTTAAGTCCACCAAGCAGTTGATCATACTTATGTTGTCAAATGACCCCCCCCCAATGGTACCTTCAAGGATATGGACTGGTCCTCATTTTCAGACTGAATGTCCTCAACATTGCGCCACTCGACATGGGAGCCGCTGTGGAAACGCAGGCGAGTGCCTGCACACGCAAAAGCGCTTCAACTACCCTCGTACTGACAAGCCCATATAATAAGTTCAGACATATATATATATTTTTTTTATCTTCATTAACATCAGTAAAAATATTTGCCTTTGATATGTTTGCTGCAAAAAATATTCCACTTTTTTTCTCCTTCGTGTATTTTAATGTTGGTATTGCCGGTGTATTGAATTTTAAGCAATTGTTTAATTTTCATGATTAGAATTTTGCCATTCTTTAAAAAAAAAAAACAACTGAAATAATATTTGCACACTGCAGAAGTACATTTTTATATCTTTTCAATTGCACATGTTTGTACGATGCCTCCTGTTGAAAACGACTAATATAAAACATGACACAATTATATCTTAATATTAAACATCCATTAAAAAAAAGTTATTAAATGATTCATTTCGGTTTTGCACATTTTAGTACATATTCTAAATTCGGTTGCCCACTGTGAAACTCCACTTTATAAGACGGCACATTTATATATTTTTAAAATAGGAACAATTTCTCTCTTTTTTTAAAAATATATTTAAATAATTTTATGCCTGTATATTTTATTTCATTTTTTAAAATCATTTCTGTTGAAAATAATTGAAATCAAATATTTTCCGACATTAAACACATACATAATTGTGTAGCATTTCCATATTTTTTTCAAACATATTTTTTAAACACGTATGTATTTTATACCCCCTTTTTATCTTACATAAAAAATATATCATGCATTTTGGTTTTCGTTTCGGGTTCATGCTGACGTTGGACTTCCTCTTAAATTCCAGCAGACCCCTTTCAAGGTTTTGTTCCAAAACTGTTCATCAGTCCCTCCACCTTTACTAAATCCCTCTTTGCCATCACTTTAAATTTTAAAAACCAAAATGGGTACATTCACATTCCCATTTGAGTGTATGTGTGTGTGTGTGTGTGTGTGTGTGTGTGTGTGTACCTTTCAGAAAGCAATGCCAGGCAGTGGCAGGCCAGGAGACACTCCAGGCCGTGTCCTCGTCATCGGACAGCGACGATCTGGTGGATAGCGCAGAGCCACATTCGCTGTTCATCTGCGCAAACATCAGGCAAAGAAGCGTTTCTGAAGAGGGTCATTGATGTGAGGCTAAGTTGGGGTGAAGAGAGGAGCTTGCCGTACCCTGCCTCTGCTGGAGTTCGAAGGCGGTGGCCGGGCGTACGAATGCAGATAACTTCGCGCAGAAGAGGAACTGAAAATGACAAACCAAGATTGACCGACTTATATTTCACACTTTAGTTGTCATGCTTTTTAACGATGAAATGGTATATCTCGTTGTGTGATTGTACCTGCTGCGGGTAGACTCCTGTAGGAGCGGGCTTTGAGGCCCCGTGGCAATGTGAGCCAGCTGCGTCAGCCAGCGAGTGTCCCCTGAGTGCGCGCGACACCCCGCGCCGGCCTCCATTTGATAAATCGCCGTCATCTCTTTCTCTTCTGGAGCCTCCTGCAGCTTTGGAAGATCCGCTGAGGAAAGAGCAGAGGGATGTTTGTGTCTTTATGCTGCAATTTGATACCATAAAAGTCATGTAGTACAGGTACTTGGTGTTACCATATTCCATTAATTCCATATCACTCCTTTGGCCAGGGGAAGAGTCACGTGATTGGTCCTGATCCACTTCCGCAATCTCTTCTGTGAGTGTAAACACAATTCCAATGTAGACATTTGGAGTGCTGCTTATTGAAGAGGGCTGGCTGACCGTTGCCATGGGGACGGCGGATACCTGTGCATTTGCAATTAGGGTCGGTCTCCCTGTGCTGTTTGGGGATCACCACCTCCCACATGATGATGTCAACTGAAACGTATGACGTGTTACAAATGTAAAAGTCACTGAGAAAAAAAAAACTGTCTTTCTCCATATTCAAATTTTGATATCTATCTAATCTATATGTCTCTCTATATAGAGATATACATAATTTATTTCCTTAAATGTTCTTTTTTTTGCTTGTTTTTTACGCTCGCCCACAAAATGAAATGACAGTTTCTCCCCTGTTGCGCAACATGGTCATCATGTGACAGCCTCTTGTTTATAAACTTCGAGAGCGTCCGCGCAAGCGCGTAACGACCCATTCATTCAACGCCGTGAATGACGGCAACAAAATAAACGAGGCGCAAGTCGCAACGATCGTTTATTTCAGGCATCGTGTTTTCATAAAGTCGTATTTGGTTGACAGAAGCACAAAAAGAAGCAGTTTGATCGAAAGGGCAATTTAAAAACGGGGGGGGTTTCCGTCGACGGATCCGAGAGAAATGTAAATGAATAATATCTGTACGTTTGGCAACCGATGTCTGGGTTGAGAAAAAGCGAATAAATATCATAAATGCGTCGAATGGTTTTTCCGGGAAAGGGCCGTATAACCACTGCAAAACAACTAACGTCAACAATGAAGCTTGAAGAGCGATCGCGCAGCAGAGCTCCTATCTGTGAAAACAACAGGCCTCGTCATCTCAATATTGTCTCGTATTTTCCGAGTTTAGAGCATATTCAATAGATTGGTGCTATCGCTTGTCGAAATCGACGCTATAAAACACGGAAAAGTTTTCATTAACTTTTTCTTGACTCACCTAAACAGTGGCCTTGTACGGGGAAAGTAGGTTGGTATAAACAGATCATCCTCGCCGATCCTATTGGTTCAACTTATTGTCAATCAAAAGCTATTAGCATTGTCATTGGTCGGTTTATTTGCAGACAGCTCTACATGTTTAAATCGAGATGAAAGATTAAAAACGATGATGAAACAGTTTGTTATGTATTATTATCCAAACCATGGATTTTCTGGCTTGTTTGCAGTAATTCGTAAAGGTGGTTTTTTTTTTTGTGATTAGAACCAATTGTTGAAATTGTTAGGTGGAAAAATCAAACATAAGGTTTCAGATTAAATAAAAAAATACTTCAGTTCGACCCAGTCTGTATTTATGTTAAAATTAATTGATCCACTTTGTAATGTTCCTGATGAAGAAAAACACGCTCATTATGAAGTTACTTAATTTGGCCGCTAGATTACAGCAAACACGAAAGCTGTTGAAATTTCACACCGTATCGTTGTATTTCCGAATAGACCCTTATTTTGAAGGAATCACCGGATGATGGTAACTCTTCCAGAAAAGTTAGCTGATCAACTGTCTAACCCGGCAGCGAGGCAACGTTGTTGAATCTTTTACAAGAGTTTTTTTATTCGCTAATGTGCTTTATTCTCCTCATTTAAATGCCGAGTCGTGGGTTGTTTATAGTGGGTGTTATCACCCTCGACGTGTGTTGGTGAGTTTTCCTTCGAGACTTTCTTTAACTTGTACCGTTATAGGTCAGCTTTCTCGTGTGGCGCTTCCTGCTGCTCTCATTTTCTTCTCAATGAGTTATTTCGTGATATATTAATTTGGACATGTTCGCCACAACTTTGTCAAAATATATACATTTGAGACAAACGTGTAAACACAGTATTATTTTGTGTAGTGTTGCATTCTTACTACTGTCAACTTTAGCTTCCTGTTTCCAAAAAAAAAAAACCCTTCAGTCATGACATCCTGTTTATTTAGAAAATTATATATATAAAATGGTAGAAAAGTTTTAAATAGATATAGTTTTATTCCAATTGTTTTAAGACACTTTATGACTATTGTTGGTGTGTATTTGAACTTTGTTTCATTGCTTAAGTGCTCCAAAACTTTCAGATTGTTTCCTGTGCAAAGCCCACTTTTGGGCACTCCCACGGTTTTACCAATGGATTTAGGTCTGAGCTGTGGCTTGGCCCTTCCTTTTATTGCCTTGGGATCCTTTCTTGTGATAGAGAAAACAATGTGAAAATGATTCCGCTCCAAATCAATGTGTCCTGTTTTATCGCTCGTCAAGCTAGGCGATGGACGAGCAGCCGATCCAGGCGAGCGACGAAGAACAAGTGGTGTTGCGGGAAGATAGTAGGCGGCGGAGACGAAGGAAGGCCATCATGTCGTCCTCCTGCGCTCCCATGGATCACATCGTCGTGGAGTTCGTTCTCCCCACAGTGGCACGGGGCGGCGACTGCCCCGACACGCTGCAACTGGAGGTTGCGGTAAACTGGACAGTGGAACAGGTTCTTCATTGTTACTTAATTGTCCATTCAAGTGCCACTTAAGGTGACTTTGAACGTCTCTGCTCCCAGGTGAAGGCACAAGTGTGGCTGAATGCGATGACATCCAACCTCTGTCCAGAATTCTACCAGCGGTTTTCTCCTGACCACTGCATACTACTCTACCAGAAAAAAGGCAACATGTGCGAGATCTACGACAAGCACCAAGTCTTCCAGACGCTGGACTGCGTACGCTACTGGAGAGGTTTGTTTGCGAGCAACTTTCTGTCTGATGCAGTGATCCCCAAAAATGATTGAGAAATATACATACACAGGTGAATTCTGCCACCTAGTGGAAAAGCATTGAATTGTTCTGGTTGTCACTATACATCAGTGGCATAGAACGATGAAAAAAGATGCAGCAATAATTGTTGCAGACAGATAATTTTCACACAGTGGTTGGGGCTCACTGCAGGATGAAACATGGGTCTTTTGAATTTTTTATTTATTGATTATTATTATGATTATAATTTTTTTTAAAGCCTTGAAGAAGGATGTTGGCCGGATCAAGCTGGTCCCTCGTCTGCAGCCCTCAGACGAGACCCTTCAGTACCAGCGGTACCTCAACTACCTGATCGGCTACGACGTCACCGACGTCAGTAACGTGCACGACGACGAACTGGAGTTCACTCGCAGGAAGCTGCTGACGCCGCGGCGCATCGAGCTGTCGGGCCGCGACGCAAAGCTCTATTCCATGGACCCGTGGGTGACACACAAGCCGCTGCCGGAGCACCTCCTGGGAAAGGTATGTTCAAATTTTGGTGGGACAATCCCAAATAAATTCATAAATTTTCTAGAGCGCATGTCCTCCTTAGGGTCGCTGGGGGGAGGAGAAGTGGCAGTAAAACAAGCCAAAATCCAACAGAGTAAAAATAATTCATTTTCCATTTTAAATCCTGCTTTTCATATCCTGCTGCCTGCAGTTTTCTCTACCTTCTGTTTTCCACCCTTAGAATTTGAAAGAACGTTCCATCTAATCATTCCAACTGTGCAATCTTGTTTGTTAGAAGATGTTATCGTTTAAATGGTCCCCTTTTATGAGGAAGTTAGAGCCTCTAGTTTCCCTTTAAAGATGAGTCATATCTTATCGTGGGTGTACAGATGATGCGGTTCCATTTCAGCGGTGTTTCCTTGACGTACGTTATGTTATCGGGCTGCTCTGTTCATCCTCTCAGATCAGCAACGGCCATGTCCTCGTTGTAATCCACATTTCCACAGCCAGTCAAACCATCAAGGTGTCCATTGACGACACACCGGCGCAGGTACAATCAAGTGTTTGCGCTTCATTTGCTTCGTGAGATCTCACATTTCGTGTTTTGTCCCCGTGCAGGTTTTGTCCAGCTTCTTATCCAAAACGGCAAATAAAAGAGGCTTGCTGGGCATCCCCGACAGCACCTGCGAGACGGACTTTGTGCTGCGCGTGTGCGGCAGGTTTGTTCAAATCGGGTCCGTGATGAAGTTGGTGGGATCGGGTGAATTTTTTTGTTGTTGTTTTTGAACAGGGAGGAGTACCTGTTTGGAGAGAAACCGCTGCGCAACTTCAACTGGATCCGTCAGTGTCTAAAGAATGGCGAGGAGATCCACTTGGCTCTGGAGACGCTGCCAGATCCAGAACTGGATTTGGTCCGTGAAGAGGACTGGGCCCAAGTGGACGATTGCACCGGTGTCGCAGGTAATCGTTTTTTCTCGTCCTCACTGTGACGGACGGTCATTTGGAATAATTGTCGCGATTTTTTTTTTTTGCATCATCCCAGGCACGCATGAGCAGCTGACCATCGACGAGAAGGACCACGAACGACTGTTCACCGTCTCCATGTGGGACTGTAACAGGAAGTTCCGAGTGAGGGTGCTGGGAATCGACATCCCGACTCTTCCTAAAGTTCCCGACTTTGTCGTGTTCATTGAGGCCAGCATCTTTCACAGTCAGCAGCTTCTCGCTCAGGTGAGTGATACCGATCCATAAACGACACCTGCGCCATTGTATGGTTGCTTGGCAACCAAAGGCGTACATGTTATCATTTTTACGTTTTTTAAAAAAAATCTGAAACAAAAGTTCAGGTGAGTGATACCGATCCATAAACGACACCTGCGCCGTTGTATGGTTGCTAGGCAACCAAAGGCGTACATGTTCTCATTTTTACGTTTTTTTAAAAAAAAACTGAAACAAAAGTTCGAAATTTGTTTTAAACCCATGAACAAACAATGTCAAGGCACACTTTTCGTACTTCAGGAGCGGACGACTCCCAAAGTCTTCAATGAAGAAGTGTTGTGGAACTGCTGGTTAGAGTTTAACATCAAAATCAAGGACCTGCCTAAAGGGTCCCGACTCAACCTGCAGGTAAGGATTCTTTTACTCTTATTATTTTTTTTTTTAATAGCCATTATCATTTTAGATGTATTTGTCAATCAGCATGGCACACCCGCCTCAAAGTTCTGAGGTTGAGGGTTCGAATCCAGGCTCTGGCCTTTCTTTGTGAATTTTGCTTGTTCTCCCCATGCAGCTTCCACCCAGTTCCCCAAAAAAGTGAGAACAATCGGTGCAACGGCATTTTAATTATTATTATTATGATTTTTTTTTTCTTTTTTATCAATGAGTTGACAATGTGTTACCAAAGTGTGTTTATAGCTTGTGGGAGAAGTAGTTTAAGGTGCTCCATCAATTTTATTTTATTTTATTTTATCCATCACATTTATCCTTTATCCTCACAAGGGTTGCGGGGGGCTGCTGGAGCCTATACCAGCCATCTTCGGGCAGTAGGCGGGGGACACCCTGAACCGGTTGCCTGCCAATCGCAGGGCACACACACACACACAGAGACAAACAACCATCCGTTCTCACACTCGCACTTTGGGACAATTTCAAGTGTTCAATCAGCCTGCCATGCAAGTTTTTGGAATGTGGGAGGAAACCGGAGTACCCGGATAAAACCCAAC